TGGAGCTAGGAGAGGCAGGGATGGCTGAGGCAGGCAGGGATGGAGCTGGGAGAGGCTGGGATGGCTGAGGCAGGCAGGGATGGCTGAGGCAGGCAGGGATGGATGAGCTGCGCTGCAGATGCTGCCGCAGTCACGAGGCGCAGCCGCGGGAGCGCCGCAGCCGGAGCCGGGATCGGGGGGAGCAGGGTGGGCCGTGGCCGTGGCCGTGGGGCCACCCCGGTGCCGGGCGGAGCCGCACACCGGTGTGGGGGCCGGGGGTGGTGTCCGAGTGGTTCCCGGTGGTCGCCAGGAGGGCCCGAGGGGGCTGTGACGCCACCCGGATCTCGCTCCCTCCCCCAGGAGCCATTTCCAGCGCTCCCGCCGTGCCTTTGCCGAGCTCACAGCGCCGGGCTCGGCCCCTGCCGGACCCTCCCCTGCTCCTCCCGGCCAGACAGGGCTCCCTGAGCATCCTGTGCTCAGCACAAGCTGCAGCCACGGGCAGTCCCCACGCTGGTCATTGCCCCAGTTTGACCAGTCCCAGTGACAGAGGGGACCAGCATCTTGGAACAGGCCACGTCTCCTCTCCCGTGCCTCAGTTTCCCTACCTGAGATCGCCATGGAATTACGGGATGCCCAGGCACCCCTGAGGCACACACACAGTCCAACCCCCAGCATGGAGATGGAAAGGCTCCTGTTCTCCAGTGTCTCCCCCTGTCCCCAAGCGTCCTGCAGTGTCCCCCAGTGTCCCCCAGTGTCCCCCAGTGTTCCTTGCTGTCCCCCAGTATTCTTCAGTGTCCCCTACTGCCCCTCAGTACCCCGCAGTGTTCCTGATTGTCCTGCAGTATCCTGCAGTGTCCTCTGCCATCCCCCAGTATCCTGCAATGTCCCACAGTGTCCCCCACAGTCTCCCAGTGTCCTGCAGTGTCCCCCAAGGTCCCGCAGTGTCCCTTAGTGTCCCTCAGTGTCCTGCAGTGTCCCCCAGCAATCCCGCAGTGTCCTTTGCCGTCCCTCACTGTCCCCCAGTGTCCTGCTGCATCCCCACGTGCCGGCTGTGGGGGACTGTCCCGGTGTCATGTAGGGCTGGGGGACACCGGGGGGTCTGTGCCGGGGCGGTGGGTGCCCAGCAGCCAGGACGAAGCACCGAGGGACACTGGGAGCGGGTGGGATCCCCCCCTGCACCCCTCAGGCTCCCCCCTCTGCTCCCACAGCCCCGGCCCTGGGGGTGCGGGTGGTTCACACCCCCCGACGCCCGCGGTTATTTTTAGCCGCTTTCCTGGCAGCGCCTCGGCAGAACCTGCGGCGCGGATGTGCCGAGAGCACAGGAAGCAGCGGGGCCGCTTCCCCTGCCCGCCCGGGGGGGTCACTGCCCCGGACCCCCAAACCCCCGGCCGGGGACAGGACCGGCAGCTCCGTGCCGGCACAGGTCCGCCCGGGAGCACAGCCCAGCCCGGTGTGTCAGCCGGGGGTGCCCGTCCCCGGCACAGGGCGGGCCCTGGATGGGCTGGGGGGTCCCGGGTGGGCCCATCTCCCCACGGGGTCACAGCCCCACAGCCCCACAGCCCCCGCTCACGGCCGCTCTCTGTTCTGTGTGCAGGCAAGGACGAGAAGGAGGAAAACAACTTCGACACCCTGAAAATGGAGGCAAGTATGGCCTGGGGCTGGACCCCATGGGGCTGCACCCAGGAGACAGGCATGGCCCTACAGCCCTCCCCAGGAGATGGGCACAGCCCCACAGCCCACCCCAGGAGAGGGGCACGGCCCCACAGCCCACTGGCCAGCACAGTGCTTCCTGTGCTCATGGGCAAATCTCTCTTCACTCCCTTGGCAGGGAGTGGTAGCATCAGGGACAGGGTCCCCACGGGATGGGGGTCTCAGGTTCCTGTGCCCCAACACAGCTGGGCACTGGGCAGCTCCTGCTGCTGTGCTGGGGACCAGGTGGCACCGGGATGTGCCAGGCCAGTGATGCCCCTCCACCCAGCCCTGTGTGGGATGGTGTCTGCCCAGGCTGACCCCTCTCCTCCCCCAGATGCCCACACAGTGTGTTGGATCCTCTCTGGGGTGGATCCATGCCTGGACAGTGTCGACAGTGCCCACCAAGGTGCAGCTGGCCATGGCAAGGTGTCTGGTGCTGTGCCATCCAGGGCATTGAATTCCAAACTGGTTTGGGCTGGAAGGGACCTTAAATCCTATCCCATTCCACCCCCTGGCATGGGCAGGGACACCTTCCACTAGCCCAGGTTGCTCCAAGCCGTGTCCAGCCTGGCCTTAGACACTTCCAGGGATCCAGGGGCAGCCACAGCTGCTCTGGGCAACCTGTGCCAGGGCCTCCCCACCCTCACAGGGAAGAATCTCTCCCCAGTATCCAATCTCTGGGCATCCAGGTGCTGGTGCACACATGGCCAGAGCGTGTGTCCACGTGTACGTGTGTGCCCAGGCAGGTGGTGCCCCTCCTGCCCATCTCCCTCACGCAGAAGTGGGTGTCCCCCTCCAGCCCCCCGCGCAGCCCCGCTGTGTCCCCCACACCATTCCCCAGCCCAGCCTGCGGCTCCCAGCACGCTGCCACCCCAGTGCCCTGACCCTGCTCTCTCTGGCACAGGGCTCTCGTGGGCGGCTCCGGGGGGGCCTGGGCTGGGAGTCGAGCCTGCGGCAGCGGCCCATGCAGCGACACACCTTCCAGGCCGGGGATCCCTACTACATCAGCAAGAGGAAGCGGGACGAGTGGCTGGCACGCTGGAAGCGGGAGGTGAGGGCCGGCACCGCCACGGGGTGGGCACCACGTGGTCGGGGTGGGCACCGTGTGGTGCCAGCACCCCAACCCTGGGGTGGCCGCTGGGCTCCAGGGCTCCCCCAGCAAATCAGGGCAGCAGTGACGGCACAGAGCACTGGGCTGGGGGTGACCGGGCGTGTGAGGGGTGGTTGGCACATGCGGGGGGCTCGTGTGGGCACTCGGGGCACCTTGGCTTTGCCAGGCCGTGGGGCTGGTGGAGTGGGTGCTCCCTGCTCCTGGCGCTGCCACTGCCCAGCCCACACTTGGCTTTGGTGCCACGGCCACGGCAGGACCCCTCTTCTTTCCCCGTGTGCCCCCGGGGCCACCCTCACAGCCGTGGGCAGCAGAGCCTGTCCTCCTCCCGCGGGATGTGGCGGGATGTGCCGCCTGTTCCTGCCGGTTTCCCGGGGAACCAGCGTGTGACGCAGCCAGACCCGGCGGCAGGAGCCCGGCACAGGCGCGGGGTGGCCGCGGTGGCTGCCCGGGGGGTGCCAGGGCAGGGGCTCTGCGGGCGCCCAGGGGTCCCCACTGCACCCCTCACCCCGTCCTCAGTGTTGTCCCTCTCTGCCAGACGAGTCTCCCTGGCAATGTGTCCCCTCGTGCCGGTGTCACTGGCACCACACAGGGACAGGAGAGACTGGCACAGTCAGGGCATCCCACTGCACGTGGCTGTTGTGGCCAGGCCATCCCGTGGGGCACAGGGCACAGCTGGCACAGCCACAGTGTCCCCATGGGACACGGGGTGCAGCTGATATGACCACGATGTTCCCAAGGGACACAGGGAATGGCTGACACAGCCACAATGTCCCCATGGGGCACAAGGGACAGCTGTGCCCACAGGGCATGACCCCTTCCCTCTTCCTGAAAGAGGTCCCCAGGAACAGCCCCCCAATGCCTGGTGCCAGCCCTGCCTCATCTCACCACACTGGAGCCCCTGGGCACTTGCAGATTCTTCTGGGTGAAGGTCCCCAAGCTGTAGAGGTCCCCAATACGTGGGGGATCCCAAACCTGTCGTTGGTCACCTTTGGGCTGTGTTTTTGGTGGCCCAGTGGCCAGGCAAGGCCCCTCCTCATCCCCAGTGCCAGGGCTGCCCCCGCTGTGCCACCCACCACCCGTGGCCCGGTTTGGGGACACCCCCCCTGCTGTCTGGGGGGGTCTCAGCTCAGGTCACCGGCCCTGCTGTGGTGGGACAGCCCAGCCCCTTCCAGCCTTCCCTCCTCTTCCTCATCCCTGCAGCCTCTGAGGGCCACGGCTGTGGCTCACCAGCACCACGGTGATGGTGATGGGCAGGGCCTGGCACTGGGGACAGGGACATGCAGGGCCACTGTGGAGAAAGGGACATCCAGGGTCTGGCGCTGGGGACAGGGACATGCAGGGTCTGGGGCTGGCCCTCAGCTATCTGTGCTGGGACCCCCCAGCTGGGACCCCCCACCCTGTGCCAGCCACGGGGATGGGGATGGGGGTGGGAATCAGGATGGAATGAACATGGAGATAAGGATGGGGGTGGAGATGAGGACGGGGCAGGCTGAGCTGCCCGTGACCCCAGGGCAGGGATCAGTTGGGATAATTGTCCAATGGTGACATGCAGCCAATGTCCCTTAACGACCGGCAATGGGACATTTCCTATCTCCCCTCCAGGGCAGAGCAGGGAGAGGGGGGGCACCAGGCCCCGCTGGGACCCTGCCCTGTGACACTGCCAGCATCACTGTCACTCACCTTGTGTCCTCTGGCCCAGGGCCACTCCTGTCCCCAAACATCCCAGGTCCCCAGAGCAGCTTTTGTTGCTCTGGGGTGTCTCTGCTGTCACCTGGGGGGGGGGTCACAGACTCAGCCCTGTCCCCCCACTGTCCCCCGGGGGACACCCAGAGGTGGCACTGGGGTGCAGACGTGCAAGGCAGTGGCCCGGGGATCCCCAGGCAGGGCAGGGCCCCTCCGTGGTGACACCATCGGCCCCTTTGTCCCTCTCTGCACACAAAGGGTCCTGGAGCCACCATGCTGTGGCACGTCCGGGGACAGTGGGGGCCCTCAGGGACCCCCGGGGACAGTGGGGACCCTCGGGAGTCCCCCAGGCTGGTGGGAGGGTGGCAGGGCCTGTCCTGGGGTGCAGGGTCCCAGGTGTTTCCCATCCATACTGGGCTGAACTGGGGCAGCGGTGCCGCTGCCAGTCCCAGGCCGGTGTCTGTGCTGGGCTGAACTGGGCGGTGCAGCCCCAGACCAGTGCCCACACTGGGCTGATGAACTGGGCCGTGTGACCCCAGACCAGTGTTTGCACTGGGCTGAACTGGGCAGCGCAGCCCCGGCGCCTTGTCTGTACTGGTCCGAACTGGGCGATGTGTGCTCAGCCCGGTGCCCGTACTGGTCCGAACTGGGCGATGTGCAGCTCAGCCCAGTGCCCGTACTGGTCCGAACTGGGCGATGTGCGGCTC